CTACACAGATGAACAGAAAGAGTAGAATTTGCCTGGGCTTTATTTAATGTGACATTCTGTGAGGTGGGGAAGGTGATGGTTAGTACAGATCAATCCTAAAAAAGCACATATTCTAACAACGAACACCAAACCCACTGACTGAACGGCTAAGTGAAAACAAACAACCGATCCCACCCCAACCGCCGCCTCCCCGGCTCCAGCCGCAGCCTGCATCTACCACCTCATCCTGCGTCAGAGGGCGCATGCAGCCAGCCTGCTGCACCAAGCAGCGCCCACCTCGCCCTGGCCAGTGTGAACTGAGAATGCTACCTGGACAAAAAGTTGAATACGAAGACACTCTCATAACAAGTGCAGCTCCGTCTGGAAAGCCTGCTGAGCCGAAGCTTTTCTGCAACTACAGATTAGACTTTCTATGAGGGAGAAGAGCCATATTCCATGGTGATTGTACCCTGGCCTGACTTTCAACAGGAGTCCCAGAATTCCAGCACCTCTCCCTAGAAACGTACCAGGTCTCTGTCCAGGAACAAAGACTCCCTAGGTCAGAGGAGGAAAAAAGGCTTAATGCACAATTGCCTGTGGGTAGAGAACACTAAGTTTGTTTTGATTTATTTTTAAAGGCTCCTTTCCTTCAGTGGAGGGTTCTAGGGTGTTAAAACAACTCTTCTACAAGCACATTGCAGAAACTGACCGAGTGCCTCCTTCTTCTGATTCACAGGGGGTAGTCCTCAGCAAGTGTCTCCATGAGCAGAACTTAAAAGTAACTTGGTTGGAAAAAATGTGCGTCTATTGAGGCAAAAGTACTCTTTGGGTACATAGATGTGGCAGAGTTGAGTTAGGTCTGACAGATACCAATTAGTGCTAATCTGTCACAGAGTGAAACAGACCTTGAGAAACAGCCCTTAGAAGTGCTTCCTGCAGTTTCTGCCAGGGAGACATCAAGGTGAGAGTTGGAGGGCTGAGCTCCTATAGGTGGCCTTCAGGGCATGGCCCGACAAGGTGCAAGAAGGCTGCCAACTGCCCACTCCAGATATGCCTCGCATGTGCACGCCTGCCACAGCTTCCAGGCCAGTGCTACCGACCCATCAGGTCTCTGTGCACACTTCTTCCAGCAGTGGCTCTCACACACTGGTCGGAGAACCAGCCACATGAGAATCACCATGAAAGCTGCCTATGAAATAGATTCTCAAATACTCCCTTTGGGATGGCAAACTTAGAAGGTCTGGGGGTGGGGCCCAGAAAGTCTGTATGGAAAAAAGATTTCCCCGAGTATAAACTGTATCATCCTTGCTATGGAACTATCAACGCTTAGAATATGTGGACTCTGAGATTCGGCAGTCCCACCGCTGGGACTTCCATGGGTGTGAAAATTCATCCAGGTACATGGACGACGATGCTTCCCACATTTGTCTGTCACAGCCAAGAACTGGGAACAACCAATACATCCATCAACGACAGGCTGAGCACGTAATTTTGGCATATCCAATGGAATACTCTATGTAATGCTAGGCTACCATAAAAAAAGTAATTATCGCTATGAAACAATTTCTGAGATTCGCTAAATTTTTAAAAACCTAATAAAACCAGGAGCCAGGAAAGTACTACCATTAAAACACAATTCCAAAAGTCACTCTCTACACACATGCACACACAAACACACTCTTATACCAACAGATGATAGACAGATACACGCGGGAGGCAAACCCCCTACTGCCAATACCCCTGAGGAGGACTGCAGGAGGGGAGGTTCTCCTCTCCGTTAGTATTACACGCCATCTCTAGCCAAGGACAGTGACCGCTTTGCTTCTTAAGTATCAGTAGGGGAGTGTTTGGGTCATGGAATTATGGGCCATTTCTAGTTCTTCTTCCACTTATCTGTTTTAATACCTAAGAAACAAATTCAAAGTTCACTAGATGATTCTGACGTTTACTCAGATTTGGGGACCACGAAAGCCTGGGTACCTCCAGGTCATGCACATATGACACCTCACAAACCCTTAAAAGGGAGACTGAAAGTGCTAGAAAGGGCCCAGGAAGGGACCCCAGGGTGTCCTGGGCTGGGCTACAGGGTTGAGGAGGAAGACTTCAGGACTCAAAGCTCCCAAAGCTGAAGGCCATATGTGAAACTTTCTCCAAACAGCAGATAAAGTGAGGGGCAGAGGTTTAATCTCCCAGCCAGCCAGACAAAGTATCCCTTAGGACAAGGAATAGGAGTTACAAGAAGGAAGATAAGAGACAAACGTCAGCAGAAGAAAAGAAAATGCCAACTGGGTTATATTGCTTACAGACAAAAAACAGAATGGAAACAGATTAGTGTTCGCATCCTCAGCCCTTTGGGGTCAGAAATCCAGGGCCTTTCTTGCAGAATGATCATCTGGATGCCTTCAGGCTGCTCTCCAGAAAAAGACGTTTGGTTGGTATGAAGACCCTATAAATGAGCAGCTTTCCAGATTGGAGTTTATCATAGAAGAGGTCGCCAGATCTCAGAGGGTCAGGTGCTTCTCAGAAGCACACCTTATACATGCTGAGACTGGCAGAAAGCAGAGGACATGGGAAGGACATCAGTGATAGGTAGGGTGTGCTTAAAAGGGTTTTTTTGTTTGCTTTTTATTTCTTTTAAAAAAATTTAAAAATTTAACTTTTATTTATTTACTTATTTTAATTTGACCAGAGAGGGACACAGTGAAAGAAAGAGAGAAAGAGAGAAAGTGAGAGAGCAAGCCACCAGGTCTGGGACTCAAACCGTGGCCAGGCATGTGGGAGTCCAGCGCCCTTAATTACCATGCCACCTGCCAGCCCCATTTTTTATTTCTTATAGGGAAGGAAAGAGTCCCTACTTGAAAACAATTGTAAAATTCCTTCTGACTCAAAATAACCTTTTTAGACTAGTTCTAGAAGGATGACTGAAAGCAGTTTTCCAAGTTTAAAAAGATGACAAACACCTAATGAAGGAAATGCTTATTTATCTAAATATTTAATTTTTTTTTAACGAGCTTATGCTCTTAGAACATAGAAGTACAGGCGTAATCACAACTGGTGAGATTTTTAAAAGTCTTATCGATTCACAACCTAGGACATACTGGGCTATTTGAAACATAAGATTTCAGTTAAAAGATGCTCCAAAGGACAAATATTCAATCACTTATTCAAAGTGCTGATACTGAGCCATGAGCGAGTTTTTCGGAAGAGGGAAAGATCAAGAAAGAAGATGACTTTAGCTATTAAACCAGAGGCACAATACACACGGGATACAAGGGAGAGTGGAGGCTGCTGAGGCCAGCTGAGGGTAAGAGGGCTTCGGAGTCTCTCCAATAAACATGTAAAAGCTTTCACCTTAAAGAGGGTGAGTCGCCCAAATGTCCAAACATCATTCTGAGGGAGATCTCTAAAGAACAGGGAAATTAAGAATCACAGGGGTAGATACTCTCGCCTCCACTCTAAGAACTCATCCAATACGTGATCACAAAATACAGACATGGACGTGCCCGAGTCCAAGAGCTGCCATCTTGCGTTAGGATGATGGGGCTCAGAGGGCACAGCAGCCACTTTGCTCCCAAGGACAGGACTGTACTTACTCAGCAGACCAATGGTAAAGATGACACCAGAATCTATTCCTAAGAGGTGGACATCTCTTCTGTCATTGTCTCACTGAGTAACAAGGACATACTTCCCAAGAGCACACATGTCCCATGTTCTTCAAATAGTTAAGAATTCTGCTGCACTGTTTGCCACCTCTTTAAACAAAATGTGATGGTGTGTGGTTTAATTCACTCACTGTTGCAGCCGCTGCTGCCTCTAGTCCCTGCTGGCTCGGGGTTGGGCTGACTGGGGCTTCCACAGGTTGCCCTTCCTGATAGTGAATGGAAGAAAAGAGGACGGGAAAGAAAACAAAAGAGGGAGGGAGTGGAGAGGAGACGAATGGAGGGTATATGGAAGGATGAAGATGGTCAGAAAAGGAAGAAGGAGGGTCTTGTAACTCAGCTGCTCTCTGACAGGAGTCATAATCTATCAGCCGTACAAGAGTCATGCAGCAAGACCTTTGGGGTTTTCCCAGGCAGGGGAATAAAGTATGCATTACTGGGTAGCCAAAAGTTATGCTCAACACAGCGTGTTTGACAAGCTTCACTTTGTGTGTGTGGAATGCATATGCACGCATACAGTAAGTAAACACAGATATGCATGCTGATTTTTTAAAAGAACAGATATCAATGTACTTTAAACCAAACCCTTTTCCTGGATGTTTTGGTTGGTGAAAGTATCATGGTCTCATATTAAAAGAAAACGTGTCAGCATCAGTCCTGTGGTTGCCCAGGCCAACCACAGGAGTGGTTTCGCCCGTCTGCAGCTCTTACAGCCTTGCTGTGGCTAACACCGAATCTAGACAGGCCTGGGCCCGGATATTGCTGAGCACAGCTGAGCACGGTGTGAGCACAGCGCATCCAGGAATGGTAAAAACTCATGGCTCTCTCTCAACCCCGGCCATTCAAAGTTGAATTCAGATGTCTTAGATGCAAATTCCTATTTCTCTGACTTTGGCACGCCCAGTGCTCATGCTGGGATATAACACAAAGCCATTTCAACAGCATATGGATTTGAGCACAGTTAATTATATTCACCATGGAACTGCCTTAATTGCATATTTTTAAAAGTCTGTCTAGTAATTTTCAGCAATAGAAATACACCCACCAAATGTTTCCTCCTCAAATATTGATGGCGAAGGACCAGTGGCTTGAACAGCAGCATCCAAGGTACACACAGTAGGGCCACTACTACCAGGAAACACTGAATTCCTTTCTGCAAAGTAAGAAAAAAGACACCACATCATATAAAAGTCCATTAAGAAGATATGCAGTTTTTGGGTGCAGGTGGGAGGGCAGGAAGGGAGGGCACTGTGCTTTAGCTGAGGCCACATGAGAGGCCCAGGTTCAGTTCTGGGACCAACCTAAAAACAGAACAGACAAACAAAAAAACAGGCCAAGTAACAGTGGTGCACGTCTGTGGTCCTGGCTAACTGGAAAGCTGGGGCAGGAAGATCAGTGTGATGTGGTGAGACTCTGTAAAAAATACATCTTTTAGGGCCAGCATGTGGCATGGTGGTTAAGGTGCTGAATCCCACATGGCTGACTCTGTGGTTCAAGTCCTGAAAAACTTGCTGGGCAGATGTGTGTACATGGCCAAAATCCCAAGAGGAGACTGGAGAAGAAGGGATTGCAGTGTGGCCCTCTGGAAGGTGATTTCTCACATTCCCTCGCTCTGTCTCTCCAGCAAACACTTGCACCCTATGGCAAAAAATTAAACAACAACAACAACAACAACCAAAACGCCTCTCTCTCGTGCATGTTCTAATTTAAAAAAAAAAAAAAGCAGTTTCCAATTCCAGCATAAATTTCCTCCAAAATGGTATTACTGAACTATAAAACAACATTATCTAGTTTCTTAAAATAATTAATAGATGTGACAAAGTCCAAGAATTGTTACATAAGATGGTAGTTAAAAATTCTGTTGTTTCTGAATACAGAAATTACAGTGGACTCTGTCAAATTAAGGATGATCTGACTTTAGTCTTGGATGTATGGGCTGAAAACTAAAGGCTACAGAAAGGTTTATTTTTTTGGAGCTTGGTATAGGGTATGTGTACTCATTGAGACAACAGAGAGAGAAGTGAGAAAGTACCCCCACTCCCCTGAGGATGACACTGACATAATCCTTTTTCTTCCACTCTCTTATATTTTGGGAATGCAAGCATTCACCCCTCATGTTTTTTTGTTTTGTTTTTTTTTTTTTTTTGAGAGATTTTTGATATAGGGTGTGTGTCCTCTCTGGAGAGACAGAGACAGAAAGTGAGAAATCGTCCCACAGGGATAGCCATGCCACAATCCATACTCCATCATTCTCCTCTCAGGATTTTGGGTATGCATGCACATGTGCCTGGCATGAGTTGGTTTTTTTTGTTTGTTTGTTTTTGTTTTTAAGAGAGATTTTTGCTATAGGGTGCATGTGCTCGCTGGAGAGACGGAGAGAGAAAGAGAGAAAGGAAGTGAGAAATAACTCCCTGGGGGATGCCCACACCACAATCCTGTCTCTTCCATTTTCTTCTCAGGGTTTTGGGCATGCACAGACACGTGCCCAGTGTTGAGTTTTGAGTCGCCAGGTCCAGGACTTGAACCATAGTCAACTACGTGGGAGTCCAGCAACATAAACATTATGCTATCTACTGATCCCTGCCCTGATGTTTTTTAAGCTGCTGGTTTTGGGACTCGAACTGCATAGTCAGCCATGTAGGATCCAGGTGTCTTTTTTTAGAGGTTTTTGCTATAAGACATGTGTGCTTGCTAGAAAGACAGACAGAAAGCGATAAATCACCCCCCGGGGGGGTGGCCATGCTGCAATCCCTTCTCCTCCATTCTCCTTTCGGGATCCTGGGCACATCCACACTCGTGCTTGGTATAAGTTTAAGCCACTGGGCCCGGGACTTGAACCGTGGTTGACTACATGGGAGTCCAGTGACATAGCCATTACACCAACTGCTGGTCCCAGGATCCAGGTGTCTTAACCTCCTGCTACCAGCTGGCCCAAAGGAAAGGTTTTCTTAAGCTATTTTAGGGTCAGGGAAACATTTGGCTTCTTGATCTAGGATAACCATCTAAGGCAGTGCACTTTGGGTTGACGCACCTGTCCGGAATACAGCATCGCATTACCAGATTCTGGGTAGGAAAAGAGGAACATGTTTATAAAATGAATCAGAAGGCTTGGTGCATTCTCAGATGTATGAGCATCATAGGCAGTCCACTTGTAAAAAATAAGGATGACCAAGTAGCCAAACAGAGAAGTCATGAAGATTATCTCAGGAATAAATCCAAAGTAGATATTCAGGGGCTTCTTGAAATAGCTAAAAGGAGAGAAAGAAAAAATGTTAAGGGTGAAAAGACCCAGGACCACTCCTACACTAAATACTCACCAGATTTTTTTTTTAACTAGATTTTTCTAATTCACTCCTCAATTCTGTTGGAAGCAGTAGCTAGGTGGGGCCAGCAGGTGGTGTGGTTGGTAAGACACTGGAATCCCACATGGCAGACTGCAGTTCGAGTCCTATACTCCATGGCTTGAAAATCATGCAGTGGGCATGTGCATGCATGCCCAAAATCCTCAGAGGAGAATGGAGGATAAGGGATTGCAACATGACCATCCTCCTTGGGATGTGACTTCTCACTTTCCCTCTCACTGTCTCCCTCTGGTAAGCATACCTGCCCTATGGCAAAAAACTTTTTTTTAAAAAAAAAAAAAGGCCAGCAGCAGCTAGAGGCTCTGGAGGCAACAGAAATGATACAGGATTAACTATCACTTTCAACCTTTGGACTTGAATAGCTCCAGTGTCACCCCCACCATTTTCTTCATGGGAAAAAGACTGGAAAATCTATTGGGTTGTCAGAAAAGTCATGATGCATTTTTACATAGAAAAACATATAAAAATATGTCAGGACTTTTCTAACAACCCAATAGTAACTTTGAGATTGCAGTTCATAATTTAAAAATCTTTTTTTTTTTTTGGCTAGAGGGCACATATGCTTGCCAGAGGGAGACAGAGAGGGAAAGTGAGAAAGCACCCTCCACGGGGACTGTCATGATGCAATCCCTTCTCCATTCCTCCCTCCTGTTGGGATTTTGGGCATGCACACACATAGGCCTTGCATGTTTTTTTTTTTCACGTCAATTTTTTTGGCTGCCTTAACTACCATGCCACTGGCTGGCCTAGGGTTCTGAGTTATTAATCCTTCCACAAAGATGTTATCATTTCTCTAGGCAAAAGCATTATCTAAACTATGCACGTTCTGATGACAGAAATACAGCAACTCACATATGGTTGAAAAGGCTCAGGCTGACTCCAAACAACATATGGATGATACCGAGGATGACAGACATCTTCATCTTAAAGGAGTTGAGGAAGGTCAGCTTATTGGTGGCAATGTTCCAAATCTGTCACAACCAAGAAAATGATAAGGTAATATAAAAAATTCTCAAATAAAAAAAAATACTATTCATTCTTTTAAAAAACAGTTGTGGTGCCAGCAGGGGCACAGTGGTTAGGGCGCTGGACTCCCATATAGCAGTTTGAGTTCCAGACTCAGTGGTTTAAGGATCAAGTTGAGTGCGTGTGCATGTGTGCCTAAAATTCCAAGAGGAGATTGGAGAAGCAGGGACTACAGCATGGCCATCCCCCCTGGGAGGTGATTTCTCACTTTCTCTTACTTTGTCTCTCTCTGTTACTCTTTGGCGTGTGCATGCACCCCATGGCAACAACCTAATAAATAAATAAACAAATAAGTAAAAAATAGTTATTTATTTATTATGGAAAATTAGTTTTTTTAAAGAATGGTTTCATTTAACTTTATTTATTATTATTATTATTTTCCAATTTGATCAGAGAGAGAGGGAAAGTGAGAAAGCAAACCACCAGATCTGGGACTTGAACCATGGTCATCCATATGGGAGTACAGTGCCTTTAGCTACCACACCACCTGCTGGCCCCTTACTATGGAAAATTCTAAACATATACTTAAGTTAGAGAGAAATTACAAACTCCTATGTATTCAACTTTAACAATTACCATCAATTCATGTTTCATCATTCTGCCAACCACTCTCTAACCTCATATTATTTATTTATTTATTTATTTTAGAGAGATTTTTGCTATAGGGCGCATGAGCTCACCAGAGAGGTAGAAAGAGATGGAGAGACGGAAAGTGAGAAATCACACCTGCCCCCTGAGAGGGATGGCAATGCTGTAGTCCCTTCTCCTCCATTCTCCTCTCAGAATCTTTGGCATGCATGTACACGTGCCCAGTGTGAATTTTAAGCTGCCAGGTCTGGGACTTAAACTGTGGTTGACTATGTGGGTGTCCAGTGATGTAACCATTACATCATCTACTGGTCCCACTCCATATTATTTTGAAGCAAGGTCCAAGTAACATTTGTTTTACCTATAAATAGTATGGATCTCTAAAATGTAAGAACTCAATTTTGAAACATGACCATAAAACTGTTACCACACCTAAAAAACATTAATAGTGATTCTTTAATATCACATAATTTATAGAGAGTATTCTAGTTTCTCTGATTCAGTCCAAACTTTTTTTTTTTTTTTTTTTTTTAGTTTTTATTTATTTATTACTTCCATGTGTAAGAGACAGAAACAGAGAGTGGGAGAGAGAGACTCAACACAGTTGTGATGCCTGCAGCCAGCCTAGCCAGGCTCACCCTTTTTAGCCAGTCTCTGGGCCCTCCTGTATGGGACTGTCTCACAGAGAACTGCATTTTACTACTGTTCTACCATCTGGCCACCAAATTTTTAAAAATATATATTATTATTATTATTTTTATTTATTCATTCATTTATTTTAATTTGACCAGAGAGAGACACACAGAGAGAGAGAGAGAAAAAGAGAGAGAGAGGGAGAGAGAGGGGAAGAGAGAAAGCAAGCCACCATGTTTGGTACTCAAACTGTGGTTGGCCATGTGGGAACGTCCAGTGCCTTAACCACGCCACCTGCTTGTCCCCGATTATTATTATTTTAAAATTTGCTTTAGGGTACATGTGCTCACCAGAGAGAGAGAGAGAGAGAGAGAAAGCAAGTCACCAGGAATGGGACTTGAACCATGGTCAGACATGTGTGAGTCCAGCACCTCAACTACCATACTACCTGCTGGCCCCCCTGAATGCTTTTTAATAATTAATTTATTCAAAGCAGGGTCTAGATGAGGTCCATAAACTACATTTTTTTTTTAGAGGTTTTTGCTATAGGGTACGTGCGCTCGCCAGACAGAGATAGACAGAGACAGAAAGCAAGAAATCACCCCCCAGGGGGGATGGCCATGCCACAGTCCCTTCTCCTCCATTCTCCTCTTGGGATCTTGGGCATGCATGCACACGTGCCCAGCGTGAGTTTTAAGCCACCGGGTCCGGGACACGAACCGCAGTCGACTACATGGGAGTCCAGTGACATAGCCATTACGCTAACTGCTGATCCCCATAAACTACAATTGTTGAGACAGCTCTCAAGTCTCATCTACAGGAGCTCCTTCCATCTCTCTTATTTATTTTTTTTAATTTTTAGAAATTTTTTTGCTATAGGGCATGTGTGCTCACTGGAGAAACAAAGATTGGCAGAGAGAAATCACTCCTCAGGAGGGATCACCATGCTATCATCCCTTTTCCTCTTGGGC